GAAAGAAAGAAAGAAAGAAAGAAAGAAAGAAAGAAAGAAAGAAAGAAAGAAAGAAAGAAAGAAAGAAAGAAAGTCCTTCTTGGGGATATTCACCTAGGTCTGAGAACATATCTCTTTAAGAAGCACAATAAACTATTTTTATGAGATTTGCATTTCAGCAAGTTAAAAACAAGCCGAGTAACACACAGAAGCCAACATGCATTTTTGTACTATTTATTTCAATCTGTATTTAGTACAGTTTTCCACTTAATGTATTGTCACCTTTATCTGGCATTGCAAGACAGAGTAATTTAAAAGTTTAAATGAATAAATAATGTTCAAAAGGGCTTACCTATCCAGCATTCAAGACGAGCACATGGAGTTGTCTTTACCACATCAGGTGGATCTACACCAACATTCAGGCACAGTACTAAGGCAACACTAACAGTCTTCATCTAGAAAATAAAACAATATATTATGGTAAGCAACATGTATTAAGGTGATTCTATACCACAACTGACCTGAAGACATTTGTTTATATTTGTAAATACTAATAAGCAATAAACAAATCTATACTGAACTTTTGTTCATTTGAACTATTAGCCAATTCTGTACAATAAGCTCCTAAATGAAATGTTTTTGTCCTCAGTTTCCATTCTCCCAAAGAGAATAAATTACATTATTTCTACCATCTACTATCTTTGAATTTAAGCACATTTCCATGAGTGTCTGTACTTAAATAAGAAATCAATCTGCTTTATCCAATAATAATAGAATGTACAGTATGTTGCAGCTGTTACATGCAAGAGATGGATGCAAATACTGTAGTCCAATAATTCAGCAAGAAAAAAATTGTTCCTATTTCACTCCATCAGTCCAATGAAAAACATGATAGAATAATCTAATAACTGAAGATTATTAATAAAGTGGAATAATAGTCTAATTAGGCCCACCTGCTTTGTTGGACCTTTTTTATTGAGTTTTATTGGCCTGTCCTTGGCTTTTAGCTGCAATTGCATGTAAGATTTTAATTCTGAGCTGGGTATTATTACTGCAGATATTTACTGAGTTCATTCATTTGTGTTGTTCAGGATTTTATAATGTAAGCAACCTCCTGAAGACTTTTACCATTAAAGGCAGCTGAATCTTGTATTTTTAATAAATAAATGAGATTAGATAGATTAGTTGCAAGTAAAAATAACCTTCTGCGTCCAGCCTATTCAGAGTGCCTGTACTTTTACCTGAACAAAACATAAAAGGAGGTATTGTGATAAGAAATAATTTTCTGTGTCCATATGGAAAGGCTTATGTAATCTGAAGTTGATTGGTTCTTTCAGGGCACTGAAACACTGTCCTAAATTAATTATTAATTTAGCAAATAGATGCACCACTAAAAATATTACTACCATTAGTGAATTTGTTGGCAAAGTTGATTTGATCCTTCTGAAACTTCAAGTGTAGCATCAGGTTTTCTTAAATAAATAACATTTTCTCCAAACATATTTCCATATCAGGAAGAAGCCAAGTTGGTTTTTTTCAATACCTCAGAACAAATACAATTAGCTCTATTTCTACTTATATGAAAACACTATTGAATACAAAAAAGAAGCCTACACATGAATATGCTGATTTCCAACCTCCTTTCATTTTCAAAGATTTGGTTCAGTCCTTCTTTTTTAAAAATATTACACATTACAGCCTGCATGCATGAATACTTTTCCTAAACTCTTTCTTATATAGCCCTTTGTGCAACTCCACAGAACATTCTGCCAAGCATCATGGGTTAGGCAAGTCCCACTGAAATGCTTTATTAAAAAATAATGAAAACATATTATACAAGATTTCCATATCAATAATGCAACATAGCAAACCTTGCTTAAGTGGCTGCCCAGGAAGCAAGCAAAACAAAAAGAGCCTTAATTTTTTTATACTAATCTTTAACAGTAATCTCTTAAAATAAACACCATCTACTTCATGTAGATCTTGAACTATGATTCTATCTCAGGCTAATCGTACATAAGAAAGGAGTCTTATTCCAGCATATTATATATTTTCAGGATTAAATTCAGGGCTAACAAGGAAATCAGAGTGCATTGCTTGATCCACATCTTTAAGCAAACAAACCTAACTTACCCCCCATAAATTGTTACTATATACCAAGTACAATACCATACAGTACTTTTATTGATTTTCGGTACAATTCTTGCCTCAACAGTTATATAGAAGAATGTGCTCATAAAGGAGAATGACGTACAGAAATGTGTCTGTTAGGAAAAATGCATACAAAAATGGATATCTTAATAAAAGGTCTGCTGCCAAAAGCCCTTTCTTCTTTTTTCTGACCAATCACTGGGTATCTGGGTATCAAAGGAGCATGCAATAGAAACTATGCTATGTTTTTTCTTTAAAGTGAACTTGGCCTCCTGGATGACAAGTAATCTGCACCGCCTACTTGATTTTTGGCATAATTTACAAATAAAAAACTAAAGAAAATGGTCATGAAATATACCACCACAAACACATACAGTATGTACCGGAAGCAAAGTAACATACTGTAACAGACAAAACAAAATCAGGACAAAGCCTGAAATTTCAGGCACAAAGCATTTTATCCTCCTTTATGCTCTGAATAAGAAACCTCAAGCAACTGAAAACAAATTACCTGACCATGTACTTGCCTTAGAATTGAATTATCAGATATCAAAGCAATAAAGCAAAAATAAGAAGATGGAGAAATAAAGCATATTATAATATCATAATAAGAACCAAGCAAGAAATATGAAATTGTATGGTGTAAACAGGGACCAAAGACAGGAAACCTGAATCGTTGTTGTGCATCATTTATTATTTTTCCTTGTGATTACACATAGTCCTAGGGTTACGTCCATTCGTTCAGCAACAGTTCAAAGTTATGACGGCACTGAATGAGGAGGATTTACAACCAGTCCCCAGAGTTCCGGCCATCAAAGAGTCCCTGCGATCACGCAATTGCAATCAGAGCACTTGGCACCCAGCTCACAATTATGATGTTGCAGTGAGCCATGGTCACATGATTGCAATTTCTGACATTCCCTGATGGCTTCCCACAAGCAAAGTCAATGGGGAAGCCAGCAGAAAGTTGGAAGTCATGGTCACGTAAGGTCCTTGCTTAATGACCCGCATGATCCTCACTTAACGACAGCGACCTGGACTTTTGGAACTGCCATCGCTAAGCAGTGTAGTCACGTGACACCACAGTTTACAACTACATCGCTTAGTGACAGCAATTCCAGTCCCAATTGCCATCGTAAGCCAAGGACTATCTGCATATAAAATGAGCTTTATAAACAGTAACTTGCTTTGTCATTTCTGACATGTAAAACTATTTCCAGACCTAGACAGTTTTTTGGAACTGAAGACAGTTCTGTGACTGTGATGGAGATAAAACAGTTATGTCAATGATCAAATCATAAAATGTAAGCCAGTTGTGGAGGAGTCATATTCATACCCAGATGGCATCAGAAACATTTACCAAGACCTTGCAACCATTCAACCCACAGACAAAGGCACACAGAAAAATACAAAGGTCCATGACATAATTTACTCCAGAAGCTAAGCAGGTTTAAAATGTTACGTTTTCTAGAGATACTGCCCAATCTGGGCACTTTGGGGGGGCCTACCCAATCTAATAACCTCCAGATATAATGATACTGCAGTTTTAAAAATACCTAGGTAGATACCCTTCAGAGGGATTTCCAGAAATTCTGGATCTTACAGTCCTATCATTTGGAGGCACCTTATTGTGGAACATCCTAAGACTATTCAGACCTTGCATGTGGAAATTACTTATATAAGGATTACAGATGATCAATATATAGAAATCCTATTTATCTGTACTTTTCAGATGAGTAATTCATACACAGTAGATCAACATTTAAGTTCTAGAATTCTTAAACTAGATATAATAAACACCTTACGTAAGATTGGAGGTAAAATGCAAGTGAGGGGATAGGCTCATAAAATGTTTTCCTTTATCAGAATAAAATAAATTGTATTATTGTTAATGAATTTCAAATATTTCTTTAAAAGTGCAGAAATTAAAGTAAAAAATTAAGAACGTAAAAAAATGAATTTTAAAATGTTCATAATTTTAACTAGTTCAAAGATATAATCATGGATAATACTTTTTAATTATCTTATAGATTATTAATGGCAACATACGGAAATAACAGATTACAAACCTGATCATCCTTATGTTCTTACCTTTCTTTCTAAAGTACAATGACAACAAAGGTCAGTGAACAGAGGAAGGGAAGTGGGTGGAACAGAACAGATAGAATCTTTCTGACTAATTATTTGTATTTTTTAATGTACATCATATTCATCCTCACATAAATACTTATCATTCTAGCACAGTGGTGTATCAAAGGGAGGAGTACAATGTTGTCTTTGTATATAATGCCTTGTAATATTCTGTCTCAAGGATTCCATGGAAGCTAGTTAGAACTGATATGATCTTGACTACTTTTCCTGATTTGATTAAAACGTTTTTGAAAACATCATCATCATCAACAACAACAAAAAGCATTGTACTGAGGGCCAGGCAGCTGATTAGCAGACATTAATCTTATCGTTTAAAGCTTACATACTAGATCACACTATTGAACGTTTGTGGTGAAGCTGCAAGAGGATAACAAGTGTAAGGTTCGGTTGTGGGTACTTTGCGAGGAGGGTGCTCTGTGGAGGGGAAGATAAGGTTTTGAGATGTTCAAAATCCACAGTTGCGAGACCACTGGCTAACCAAGTTGTAACCTAAAAGTTAATTAGCATAGTAAAACGCACACTCCTAAGGTAGAGATTTTAGAAAACATAGAACATGCTAAGCTCATTATGGGATGTTAATATGTAACATGGAACCAAGTTACATTTTTACCATAAACCACCCAGAGTCACCCCACAGTGAGATGGGTGGTGACAAATTTGAAAAATAAATAAATAAATAAATAAATAAATAAATGCGTTTGCACGACAATGTGACAAAATGTAACCAGTTATATTTTTCCCGTACCTACTTCCTCATTTAAGAAATGTCTAAAATTTGACAGAAAACCTGGCTCAAGGTCCCTCTTCTTTGAGAGTTGGGAACCTCTTTGCTTCAGTGCTTCAATAAAATGACCAAGAGAGACTTCCCCTGACTTGGTGTGTCTGATTGGTGTTATGTACTGGGTAAACGAATCTGCCAGCCTTGGCGGCCAACAGTATAAGTATGAAATGGTGATTTAATCGAATACCAAGACAGATTTTAAAGTCAGGTCTGCACGGTACAGGGGGAAGATTCCACTGTTTCGCTGTTCTACATAATAGTCAAGCTCAGCATAGTAGCTAGTGATATTAACACATTTTTTTATTAAAGCTATTACGCAAAATGTTTATTAACTATAGCAACAGTTACTATTGAAACAAGTTTGGTACAATT